CAGGTGATGGTCCCAGGTTTCATCCCTGACTGGCTGTGTCACCACAGATTTCTGGCGGGGGCGGGGGGTGGGGAGGAGAAGGGGGGGTCCAGGCCCTGCTGGCTTCTAGACATAGGGGCTTTGTTCGGCTGAGGACATGTGACTGGCCCTAAAGGGCACTCCAAGGTCAGAGCCACAGAGCCACAGTCTTGCTTTTTTGTCCTAGGACTCAGTGCTGGTTGCTGACATTTGTGGAACCGTGCCCTGGGTGGCACAACGTCGCATTCCCTTGGCAAACTCTTGTCCTTTGGATTCATCACCTCTTCTCTGGACAGATGCTGGACTTCTAAGCAAATCCTCTGCATTCGCCCTGGATCTTTGGGTCCCTTACATCTGATGGAGCCGGTGGGACCAGCCCTCCTAGGCTCCTCCTTCAGCCCGACCTTCCCACTGCCCTGGAGTGGGGTCCGGGTCAGTCTTCTTCCCGTCTTGCATTACTTGACATTACTCTCAGCTCCACCTCTCCCGGGGACACCCCAGCCTAGGCTCCCCTGCTTAAGTAAACGCCCAGGTCAGAGTCTTCAAATCATTCTTGATTCCTCTCCTCCTATCCAATCCATGAGCAAAGCGTGTCAGCTATCCTTAAAAAATCTATCCAAAAGATGCCCAAGCCACGAGGGACTTCCTTTCCTTCTGGTGTAAATATCCCTGTTGACCACATGACACCCTGCCAAGGGAATCAGGCCAGAGGTCAGGAAAAAGGAATGCAAGTTTCAGACCTGCCATATTGTGATGAATAATAAAATCATAAACTGCAACCTGTTTATTGCTGATTATGTGCCAGGTACTAAGTCCTTTACGTGGATTATCTTATTCACTGTGTGACCTTGGGCTGATGACTTCACTTGTCTGTTTCTGCTTTTTCATTTCTAAAATGGAGATGACAACAGTCCACGGGGAGGTTGTGAGGATCCAGTGAAATAATGTACGTGAGAGTCTTTGAAAAAAGCACCAAAGGATATATGTATCCCATATTTTCAGCAAAGAGCCAACATGATCATCTTCAGGCCTTTGAAGAGTTCACATTGCACCGAAGAGAGATGTTGGCAAAATTCCAGCTGATGGTGAATTTGATAGCCCGGCTTTGTGAGGGCAGAATGTGAGGCCCATGGTGGTGCTTTATCTGTCACCTGAGATCGGGGTGTCTGTCTCCTGGCACAAATGTGACACCTGTTGCAGGAGAAACAGGCCCTGGCAGCTGGCACTCTGGGAGGAGAGGTCTGGCCAGGAGCAGGAGGAGTTCACTTATCAGAGGGCAAGTGACAAGTGTCAATAGTTGAATCAGCACATTCTTTAGCTCCAGGTTCCCCCAGGGGCCTGAGCAATGCCTGGGGATCCATTGGCAGGGTTAATACAGAGGCAAAGAAACAGGAAGAGGAATTACCAGATGCCCAGCACACTGCTTGATGCCTGATATGCACTCAGTGAATGTTCACAGGGGGGATGGATGGGCAACGGGGAGGAATGGACGAGAGGCGTTTGTCATCCATTGCTCTGCTTCCGCTGAGTCCCTGCTGGATCACAGTCCACTTCTCTAGTCAGTAAGTAGAGAGAGAGAGGAGAGTAAGAGAACTATTGGCCGTTTGCGGTTTACAAGATTGTAAAGGGGCTTGAACTCATATCTGACTCCCAGGTCTGGAACCCCAAACTCATTGAGGAAGGAGTGCTTACTGAATACTTACAGTGTGTCAGATACTTGCTTAAGCAGTCACCATTTATAAGTGGTAGTTAGACAATTAGGTCTGACTCTAAAGCCTTGCTTGTCTTTCTCCTCTACTCTGAAGTCTGCAAAGGGAATTTCCTACTCCTGAACTTACTAAAGGCTGGGCTGTTGACTACCCCAGTCTCTTAAGTATCTCAAAGCCATCTCGACACCTGGGACCAGGTGCAGGGCCTGGTTGGGTTTAACCTCACTGATATCACCGCCCCCCCCCCCGCCCGCCCAATCCCCACCAGTGGATTTGTGCTTGTTTACTGAGAGAACCACCTCTTATCTTTTTATACAGAGAAATAGAGCCAGACACTAGTTAAAGGTGATTAAAGGCAGATTTTATTCAGTACTATCATGATAGAGGAAAGAGACCTCAGGAGAGAACTGAACTCAATTCGGAATACAGCAAAGACAGCTGGGGATTTATAGCCAGCAAGCAGAGTGAGGGGCCAGGAGATGGAAAATTACCCAGAGGAGACATCTGGGTAGGGGGATTCTTGCTAAACTGGCCTAACAGTATTCTTAAGCAAAGGCAGGTTGAGGACTTACACATCAAGGCTGGGAAGATGAAGAATTGATCAGGTATCAAAGATGGTGGAGATTCCTACTAAAAAGACTTAATAGGATTATTCCTCAACACTGGGCTGGGCCAGCCAAGCACAGGGCCCAAGGACAAGGCCTGCTCAGAAGGAGGGTTCAGAAGAGCCTGTCTAAAATTTGGTCAAGGAGAGAGTCTTCATCACTTTCCAGCAAATGCCAGGGATAGTTCCCTGACCTTGGGTTGTCTCACTTTGATGTGACTTCCAAGAGTCAAATAATTTTTCTGGTGCTGAAAACTAGTCTATGAGAAAGAATTGCATCTGAGACATACTGTAACTCCCATGGATAGGGGAAGTAGTGTTTTTATTATTATTTCCTCACAACTTTGTCTAGAAGTAGATGGCTTGTAGTTGTAAGAGCAAAGTAAAGGAAGAGACAACCCAATCATTCAGAGGCAGAAGCAAGGCAGAGCCTCCCCACCCCACCCCACCATGTGACTCATTCATCACCCAGGCACCTGAGCTCCCCAACCACTAGCCAACTGCTCCCTGGACTTGGGAAGGGTGGGGGCTCTTAAATAGGATGTGCCTGAGTCAGGATTAACAGATGAGCAAACAGCTCTCTCCTGAGCTCATCCAGAAATGCAGGGTGTAGGTCTGGGAGCATTCTTTCTCTTCCTCCCGCCCATATCCTCACCTCACTTCGCTGGCCCCAGAATCTGGCTTCCCCAGGACATCCCCCTGCACTGAACTAGTCTGACCTGTTCCCGCCTGCCAGCTGGCCAGCCATGGAAACAGGAGAGACCTTGATGGCAGAGGGATAAACCTGCAGAAGTCCCCATAAACATAACATGAGCAGAGGTTTAATGTCTGTGCAGAAACCCAGAGGCACAGATCCCCAGCTGAGGCCTCTGCCCCTGGGACTCTTCAAAGTTTGTGTCAAAAAGTGCCCACAGGGGAAAATGTAGGCGGAATGAGAAAACACTGGCTCATGAGACAGGGAGGCTCTCTGTTCTGATCGTGGCTTCAAAACAAGTCACTCTGTGACTTTAAACTGCACTGCTCTTTCCCCATCTGTAAAATAGGGGTAGTCAGACCTGGCCTATCTCACAAGTCTTTTAATTACTTATTTTATTTATTTGAGGGGGGGCACACGCATGCCTATGTGGGGGAGGGGCAGAGGGAGAGAGGGAGAGAACCTCAAGCAGACTCCGTGCTGAGCGTGGAACCCGATGCAGGGCTGGATCTCATGACCCTGAGACCATGACCTGAGCTGAAATCAAGAGTTGGACGCTTGGGGCGCCTGGGTGGCTCAGTCGTTAAGCGTCTGCCTTTGGCTCAGGTCATGGTCCCAGGGTCCTGGGATCGAGCCCCATGTCAGGTTTCCTGCTCCGGGGGAAGCCTGCTTCTCCCTCTCCCACTCCCCCTGCTTGTGTTTCCTCTCTCGCTGTGTCTCTCTCTGTCAAATAAATAAAATCTTTAAAAAAAAAAAAAAGTTGGACGCTTAACCGACTGAGCCACCCAGGCGCCCCTCTCACAAGAATCGTATTACAAGACTCAGATGAGATAATTCCTGTGATATGCTTAGTAAGCACTAAAGGGCCACACCAAACAGAACTGGAAGAAAAGCATCCCCCTACCCACCACAGTCCCCCTCCTGGAGTCAGTTACATAAATACTCCCACAAAATGGTGCTGTCCACCTTTTGTTGGCCACATTCATACATTGAGCTCTTTCCTCTGTGTCTGGTTGGCTGTGTCTCAACTGGACTCACATCGGGGTTCATGACATCTGCTCTGGGTCAGCTATTGGCTCCCAGCGGTCAGTGAGCGTGAGTCTGACTCCTCTTGTGCAGCACCCACCACCCTGGGAGCATCTTGATGGAGCTGTTGGAGACAGGGTAGTAGCCCAGTGGGGGATCTGGACATTTGGGTGCCAGTCTTAGCCTTGTCGCTATTTGCTAAGTGAGCCGAGAGAAGTCATTTGGCCGGCTGGGGTCCCATTTTCCTCACCTGAAATGAGGACCAGATGACCTTGAAAGCCTCTGCTAGCCTAGGTCCTGATCGTCTATGATTTGGGTTCATGGCCAGTAGTGGTTTGGTTTCACATATTCAGAGTCTGACAGTCATGCCCAAGTGGCCTCCTTGACACGTGGGGGGCTCTGACCCCTCAGTGTGTGGCCGTGCTGACCCCTGAACCTTGACTCCCGCAGCCTCACCCTCAGCACAGCGCTCTGCTTCTTGACTCTTTGCTGGCACCCCAACAGTTTCTCCCTGGATGCGGAGGAAGGGGACCGAGCTGGAAAGGGAGCAAGCTTAGTTTCACTGCCTTCACAACCTTTTCCCCACAGCAGTTTTGGGGAGAAATCAGCCTCAAAAGGCAACTGGGGAAGAGTCAGCCTGTAGTGCTGCACACACTCCATGGACAAATGGACGTGTTTCATCTTCACCTAGCCTGGCTCCTTCTCTGATTATGGAAGACAGCAAATTTTAATGTGCTAGGAGCTCTTTTCCTCTCCCTCTGCACTACTGACCTTGGCCAAGGTTGTAACTGTCTCCCGACCCTCCCCCCACTTCATGCCCACCATAGGAAGAGGTATGAAGAGCTGCAGAAGAGAAGAAGCTTAACTCTTTTATTCCCCCCAAGTCTTACAGACCTATGAGGTCTTCATATTCTGTTGACCTTGTTTCTCTCTTCGGTCCCTTCCATAGGATATGGCAGCTGGCGAGAACTGGCCAAGGCTCTGGCCAACAGGAACATTCCGGCTGTGGATCCAAATCTCCAGTTTTATCATCCCCAGAGGCTGGGCCCCAAGGTATGTGGTGGGGCCAGCCCATTTTCTCTTACTAGTGCATTAACATGGGTCCTCACCTGTCCGTGACCTTATTAAGGGAATCCCCTACTTTTCTGTGGTAAGAGGGCTCAAGGAGAGAATTCCTGGAATTGTACTCGGACATCACAGGATCTTGTTAGCTGGGTGGATAGAGATGTCCATCCTGCCCTCCTCAAAGCCTTCCTCAGGCAGCTCAAGAGGCCCAGAATTGAACTGTTCCAGGCATGTGGTCTTCATCTTAAAGGGCTTAAAGCAGAACCATCACATCCTGCATCTTGCAGGCCTGAGGCCTAGGCTGGTGCCTTAGTGATAATCCCAGATGCTCACTGCTAAGAGAGATGATGAGGTAGACATCATATATAGCTGCACATGGCTGGGGGACAGATTTGGAATGGAGCATTTTTTTCTATAGTGTCTCTTGGGCCAGTCGTCCCTAGGGAGGTAGGAGGAGCTCTGGATGGGAACTGGGGAAATTGGGTTCTAATTCAGTTTGGAACCCTAAGATTGAGCCTCTGAGCCAAGAAGAGACATGGATCTCCAAGGCTGGAGCAGAACCAAACTGAACCCATGAACCTACATGGTAGGGAGGGGAAGGCCTGCGATGTCCCCAGGGAGCTTCCACTTGTCAGGACAAATGAGTGACAGACCTGGGCAGAGTCCTGGGGGGGATGTAGACGAAGACTGAAGCAAGTTCCTGTTCTCAGAACACTGATCAATTTAGAAATTATTTTTCCAGAAAGAAAAAATGTTTTTAGCCGTATGGGAAGACAGAAAATTCAAGAAAGTAAAAGAACCTTAGGAGAGTATGCATTGACGAAACTGTAAGGGGGTGCCTTTCTGAGGGATACAGGGTGAATCATAAATGGGAGTGTCTCTTATTGATAAGCTTCCCCAGTGGCAGGGTCTCCTGGGCCTCTGCCTCCCCATAGGCACTTTCAAGGGGCCCCCAATCCTAATATTCCCACCCAGTTCATTCTTCATTCTTCTACCAGGACCAAGACGTGGAGCAAGGTGAGAGTGGTAACTACAGCTACCTGAAATGGAATAAGCCTGTCCCCTGGCTCTCGGAGGTAAGGGATTTGTCACTGTCCCTGTTCTTGGAGATGGTCAAAACATAGTTTTCACAGATAATTCCAGAGACCACAGAAAATATTCTTCTAGTGATTGTTATTAAAAATCTTCACCTAGGGACGCCTGGGTGGCTACTTGGTTCAGCGTCTGACTCCTGATTTTGGCTCACATCAGGATCTCAGGGTCAAGAGATTGAGCCCTGAGGTTGGGCTCTGCGCTGGGCTTGGAGCCTGCTTAAGATTCTCTCTCCCCCTCTGCCCGTCTTCCCCTCCCCAACCCCCTACCACTTGCATACACTCTTGCCCTCTCTTTTCCCCCTTAGCCCCCCAGAATTTTTTTTCACCTAATTTAGAAAAAAAAAAAAAAGGTCTTCAGGCTCATTCAGTTTTCTTCTTTTAGAGAAGGAGAGCATTTGCTCTGAGCCTATTGTGTGCTGGTTTTTGCATATCATCCCTTATCAGTTTTATGACCTTGTGAGATAGTATCATTGTCCTCATTTTTATAAGTGAGAAAAAAAGAACTCAGGAAGGCCACCTGACTTTCACATCCACATCATTCTTAAAGATAGGCTTCCCAAACTTTCTTGGACAGCAAGTCTCATAAGGTATTCCAGGAAGAAAGGAGCCTGTTGTTAAATAAGGCATAAAAACTATATACTACATCCACTTCTTGGAAATACACATTCACATAGGAAAGGTTCTGAGAAGTTCTGTAGTGAGCTGTTTAACTTGGTTTAGCTCAGCAGGTAACAAACCTGTGTGTCTCCTGCCTTGTTTTTTTTCCCCATGAAATATCTCTTAATATTCTATGAAACTAGTGTTTTGAGGAAAATACTCTAGGAAACAATGCTTTAGAAAACTTTTATAGGAAGTGGTTAAACATGTGAATAAGAGTTGCTATGATACCTTTCACTTATATAGGATCTGAAAGATTCCTTTTCTTTAGGTAAATAAACTGAGGTGCAGAGAGGTTAATTAACATGCTCAAGATTACCTTGAGTAAATGCTTATGCTGAGACCCCATAGTAGCATGGTTCTTTGGGGGTGAAAATTTTAAATTTGGGCTGCATATTTGACAACTTGCCCATAACCCAGTGCCTTTTAGTCCTGAGACCTGTGGACATGTATTATTTTTTTTGGCTGGGTGGTATTGGCCAGCCCACACTGTCTTTATCCATACCTATCACAGATTGAGCTCTTCAGCCTGCATGATTTTATTTCCAATCCACCTATTTGCTGTGGGGCAGGAGAAGAGGAGGTAGCATCGTGCTAAATACGATGTTAGGTTATTCACGCCGTGAAACTGCCTCTGTTTAAAGCCCTGAGAGAGGGCACATTACAACACTGGCACAGCTGTACTAGGTGATGTCATCAGGTGATTACGCCCCACCCCACCTGGAGTGTTTTGAAAAGAGGGTGCCTTAAAGACCATTGATCCCATGATCTAGCCTTCAATCTTTTGAGGACAGTTGGGATCATTTTCCTTTCTTTTTGTTTTTTTTTTTTTAAGATTTTATTTATTTATTTTAGAGAGAGAGCGGGGGGGGTGGGGGGGAAGGGGCAGAGAATCCCAAGCAGACTCTGCTGAGCAAGACGTTGGACCCGATCCCACAACCTGAGCCAAAATCGTGAGTCCAGCACTCAACCGACTGAGCCACCCAGGTGCCCAGATCGTTTTTTCTAAAGATTATGGCTGTATAACATTCTGCATTTATTTTTTTTTTAAGATTTTATTTATGCATTTGAGACACAGATATACAGAGAGTGAGAGAGCATGAGCAGGGGGAGAGGCAGAGGGAGAGGGAGAAGCAGGCTCCCCGCTGAGCCAGGAGCCCGTTGTGGAGCTCGATCCCAGGACCCTGGGATCATGACCTGAGCTAAAGGCAGACGCTTAACCATCTGAGCCACCCAGATGCCCCCATTCTGCCTTTATTAATCATTAATTTCCCCACTTTTTTTTTTGGCCAATCAAGGATGGAAATATTTATGAGATTAAAACAGTGAACAAATAGTAAATAGTGATTAAAATAGGATTAACTTTTTAAAGAAAGTGTTGATGTTTTAATAAGCGTGTATGGCCTTTTGGTGATAAATGCCTGATTTCCACTGACTTTTTTTTTTTTTTTAATATTAAAAGTAGCTTTACCAGGATGCCAGGGTGGCTCAGTTGGTTAAGTGTCTGCCTTCCGCTCAGGGCTCAGGTCAAGATCCCAGGGTCCTGCTCAGTGCAGAGCCTGCTTCTCCCTCTCCCTCTGCCCTTTCCCCAGCCCGTGCTCTCTCTTGATTTCTCTCAGATAAATAAATAAAATCTTTTTTAAAAAAAGTAGTTTTTACCAAAAAAAATCTTACAAAATCCTCTTTACAATCTTCATAGATCTTCAGGGAATCACTGATCCAATCATCTTATTTCACCAACAAAGAAAACAAAGCCCCTTTGAAAGGCTATATAACTAACATTTGCAGCCACAGAGCTGCATGGTGGTCCCTGCCCCCACCACCGGTGCTTCTCTGCTCCGATCTCCTTACCTGTCTCCTGCCCTTTTTTTTTTTAAAGGTTTTATTTATTTATTTGACAGAGAGAGAGACAGCGAGAGCAGGAACACAAGCAGGGGGAATGGGAGAGGGAGAAGCAGGCTTCCCGCGGAGCAGGGAGCCTGATGTGGGACTCGATCCCAGGACCCTGGGATCATGACCTGAGCCGAAGGCAGACGCTTAACAACTGAGCCACCCAGGCGCCCTGTCTCCTGCCCTTTTGACAGACAGCTTCAGCAGGTTAATGATACATGTTATTTACTGAACATCTAGCTGTCAAGAGCTGTCAGGTGGTTCTGTTATCCCCCTTGTGCAGGTAATGGCTCAGAGAGGGGTTAACTCGTTCACTTCCTCCAGGTGGCATCACTAGGACACAGCCCTGCCCTGAAAGTGAGCAAGGACAGAGGATAAGAAAGCTGTCAATGAGTGGTCTCTTCTTTGTCTCCCTGCCCTGGTCTTTAGCCAGCAACGCAGGGTCTCTGAGGCCAGAAGTCACTCTGGAAAGCTAAGCAGCCATAGGCATTCTCTTTGCTGTGTCATAGAGACTGTCAGAGTGGACAGCTGTGGGACTGGGCTTCACGGGGTAACTGCCTTCAAAAACTTATTCATGGCACCCCAAATCATAAAACTCTAGTTCACAAACCCCACTGATTAACAAAGCTCAATGCCAATATATTCATTTGCATCCATTGACCAAAACACTGTCTGATGCTCAGGTTGTTCCATCTGGAAAACAAAAATAGTTACAAGAAAGAAATTTGGTAAATCCAAATAAGATCAAAGCAAGTCAGCCTTTCCCTGGCTTTGGCGAGCTGCTGTCTCTTGATGAGAGGGCTGAGACCCAAAATCTTCTTCTCAGGCTTACCTTTTTTTTTCCGTGACAATTTTATTGAGATGTAAATTAAATACCACATAAGTCATCCATTTAGGGTGTGTAATTCAATAGCTTTTACTAGATTCATAGAGTTATGCACCCATAACTGTTAATTTAGAGCACTTTCATTACCATAGAAAGAAACTCCATACCCGTTAGCCATCACCCCCCCATCCCACGAGCCCTACACAAACAATAATCTACTTTTCTCTTTTTAAGGAATGCTTTTTTTTTTTTGTACTTTTTATGATTTTAATTAGGCTCCATGCCCAACATGGGGCTTAGACTCACGACCCTGAGATCAAGAGTCACATGCCCTACTGACTGAGCCAGCCAGGGTGCCCAGTAGTCTACTTTTTGTCTCTCTAGGTTTGCCTGTTCTGGTCATTTCATATACATGGAATCCGACAATGTGACCATTTGTGTCTGGTTTCTTTCACTTAACATGACGTTTTCAAGGCTCGTCCATGCGGTCGCCTCTACCAGCACTTCGTTTCTTTTTATGGTTGAGTACTGTTCCATTGTGTGGCCATACCACATTTTATTTACCCACTCTCGAGTGTACTTTCTGTGATTGGCTCCTGTGTCTCCTGGGGGCAGAGGTGACTGCTCCTGCCTTCATGCCATGTGCCCCTGACCCTTCTGCAATAGCCCCTGGCACAGGTGACACCGATTGTTAACACGTCTCTCTCCTTGGAGGACCACATCTCCTTGCATCTCTAACCGGTCCAAGGCAGACATTCGGCACTTATCGAATCAATGAAGGAACATACGGTTCCGAGCTTAGCTTCTGCAAGCATTTGTTCATTAAAATAATTGAGATGTTCTGGAAACACAGAGGAGGGAAGCTATTAACTCTGGTGAGGAAGTCAGAGAAGGCTGAGCCAGCGTTTGCCAGGTGGGGGAGAAAGGAAAAGGCCCTCCCACCGGGGAGTAGTGTTTGTAAAGCCGTGGAGAGGTGAAGGAGCGGGACAAAGACAGGGAGATGGGTGTGGGTGCCGTGTAGGTGCATGACAGGGAGTGGCAGGTGAGGCTGGGAAGATAGGTCAGTCGAAGAGACCTCACATGCCAGGGTGAGGTTTTGTTCTGAAGCCCTTTGGGAGTCTCCTGAGGTTTGAAGCCGCAGAGAGACACGATCAGGTCTATGCTTTAGTAAGACAATCTTGCAGGCAGTGTGAAGAATAAGTGGAGGGAGAGACGCTTCCCTCCAGTGAGGAGGCTCTACAGCAGGCCTGGCAAGCCCAGTGGGGCCTGGTAGAGGCAGTGTTGTGGGAATGGAAGACAGTGGACATTCCTGCCTGAGGACCCACCAGGCTGGCCTTCCCCTCCTGCATCCATACTCCCCACTTCCACAGGGTTAATTGCTGTGTGTTTTGGGGGAGTCAGTTTACCTTTCTGGGCCTCAATAATCTGACCTCTAAAATGAGAGGGTTCCAACAAGTATTTTCTCCACTACTTACGACTGGAAGTTCCAAATCCGTCATTGGCCACATCTGGTGATAGGAGTAACCTGTGTCCTTCCCTGGGCCTTAGCCCCTGCTGGACAATGGAGAGAGTGGGCAAAGGGCAGGCTGATGAGCTGGAATCCCTCATCCCTGCCAGATACAAAATCTCCAAAACTTGGAGAGACGCAAATCCTGGTGGGGGTTGCCAGTCTGGGCCTGGGAGGAAGATGGTGCCCACTGGTCCCGCAGAGACCCCCGCCTACAGCCTGAGAGTGGATGAAGCATGGTTTGAAGGCTACTGTGATGCCGAGTGAGGGCCTAGACCTCAGAGGAGAGGGCTAGTCCTCTTCCTACCCCCTCTTGTCCCCTGCCTTCCATTCTCCAGAGCATCTCAAGCTACCCTTGCTGTAGCAAGCAAGGCCCTAAGTGGGAGGCAGGAGGTGGCCAGCCCAGTTCCTTCCTTTTTCCCTCCTTCCTCTGCCCACCCCCCCCCCCCCCCCCCCCCCCCCCCCCCGGCTGAATCAAACCGGATTTAAAAAAAAATTTCTCTGGTGGCATGCCCCCCCCCGGCGGTTTTTTGTGGTTCTGAGCACACCGCCCCGAAAGTCTCCCGGGGGGGGGAGGGGGCTTAGAAGAGGTCATTTGTGGGAGACAACTGAGTCTTGTAAACTGGATTTAAGGAATTTCCCCAGAAATAGCACAATGTCCCCATTCTTTCCTTCCAAGAAGCCTCAGCCCGCCCGCCTACCCAGCCCACATTCTCTCTCCCACCCATCCCAGCCCCCCACTCATATTCCCTGGTGCAATGGCTGCTTCCCAAGGCGCCACATGTCAGCTTTGACCAGGCCAGTGTGCCCAGGAAGTGCCAGGCTGCTGAAGGGACGGGGAGTGACAGGCTCTCTTGTGTCCTTTCTGGATCCAGCTGTGGGGTCCTGTTTCCTCAGAGGCCGCACCTCAGATCTTTGGCATTCGTGTGCAGGACTTCTCCCCTCCCAACCATCTGTCCCTCCAGATCGCTCGCTGAAGACCTTGTGCTACTTCCTTTTATCTGGGCTTCCAGTCTGGGTGTCCCTTCCTCCTCTGTTTTCCTCAGGGCAGCTCAGATTTTGATATCTGATGGGCCACAGTGGGGAGGGAAGGGCAGGGCCTGTTTGTATAGAGTAATTGAGGCCCCACCTCCCACAACCTGGAGATTAAGCTGGGGGGAGGGGGAGGAGAAAATTGCTGAGATGGGGTAATCCGAAACTCTTTGTCAGGATAAATCGGGACGGGATCCCCACGCCTCCCCTCCCCTCTCAAACGCCCAGCACTTCCACCGACTCAGAGCACTGGCTCTAAGGCCCTCTCTTCTGAAGGGGGCCCTCTGCCTCTGGCCTCCAAGCTCAGTCTCTGCCCACCGATGCCACAGCCAAGGAGGAGAGAGCATACATCCTCTGCTCCTAGCTTCCCAGGGCTGCCCAAGTCCCAGGCGCCTGGGTAGTCATGCCAGGAGAGGCCCGCGCAGAGCGGGAGAGAGGCTTCCAGCTCCTAAGGGAGCAGTCCGAGGCTGTCCTGCCGGATGGGGCCCCCAAAGACCTCCTGCAGCGCTTTCCCAGCTGCTTCCCCACAAGGGGAGCCAGAAGCATGAAGACTACTGGGTAGATAAGGTTTCACCAGCAGACAGCTGTGGAGCTTACTATTAGGCAGAAGGGGAAGGGGAGGGGAGGAGAGCAAGTCTTTAGCACAAACCCCAGCCTGGCCCTCCTTCCAGTTCTTTCGGTCATCTCTGCCTTTCTGTCATGGCTATTACTGCCCCTTGCCTGGGGAATGCAAACCACCCCCTCCCGGCATGGAAAGAGCCGGGACTGCGCGCGCGCACAAGCATGGCCAAAAGAACAGACCCAGGCTTTAGGGCCAAGCAGTGGGGATGAGGTTGGAGAAAGAGGCCTTGGGGGTGAGGATGGGATGGGACTGAATTGGACCGTGACCTTCAGTAGTGAGAGGAACACCCGGGCTGGGGCTGCGGCGGCCCGGGCATCGTCTATGCACCCGGCGTCCTCAAGCCGCGGGCCGGACGGGTGCCGGGGCGCTCAGACTCACCTGCTTGCTTCTCTGCCCCGCACAGTTCCGGGGCCGCGCCAACCTGCATGTGTTTGAGGACTGGTGTGGCAGTTCCATTCAGCAGCTCAGGAGGAACCTCCACTTCCCACTGTACCCCCATGTGAGTGTTTGCTGGGCGCGCCTCTTTTCCCTCCCTCGGCCCACTCCTGTGTCTCATCTCCCTCTGTCTTCTGTCTTCATCTGTCCTGGCTTCTTTTCTGGTTCATTTCCTTTCCTTTATATCTTGGGTCCTCTTTTCTTCTGCCCACAGTTATTACTCTTGCTCCCTTCCCAAGGATTCCTTTGAGTTCTCTGCCATCTTCTGCATCATTTCAGCTTCAGGCTCTCATTGTACCTCATGATATAATTTAGCCAGAACCACCACGTACATTTGGGCTGGTTGTGCACTGTACAAGGTCACATGAACAAAGAAGCAAGTGGGAGTGGAAATCCTGCCTACACTCCACTCACCAAGCCATGCCCCAGTCCCTCCTGTCTCCCTCCCCACCTTGGTCTTACCACCAGCCCTGAGTGGACCAATTGCTTGAGTTTCCTCTTCCCTCTTCTGGGTAATGGTTTCCCTCCCCTTTCTTGGCATAGATTCGCACAACCCTGAGGAAGCTGGCCGTGTCCCCCAAATGGACCAACTATGGCCTCCGCATCTTTGGCTACCTGCACCCCTTCACCGATGGTGAGGCCGGCCCCAAAGTCCCATCCTCCTGCTTCCTGCTCCACGTTCTTTATGGTACCCAGAGAACATAAGCCTGTAGTTGAGAAGTAAGTCCACACGAGGCTGCCTGGACCCTGTTAGTCCATCACTGGGGAGAGAGGGGAAATTTAGTCACGGTGAGATCTCATCCAGTGGCCCCCCAGCTGCCACTTCACGCCCTGATTTGCAGAGTCTGGCACTAGCTTATCTCTCCCTGGGAGTCTTCTCTGTCTTCATGGTGTCTCCTAGGATGTGGAACCCCCACTTTACAGAGAGGGAAGCCACGGCACCAAGCCCCCTGGAGAGAATGTAATCGCTAAGACATAAAACAGGCCTTCAGCCCTTTATGCTAATGCCCTTCTTGCTCTCATCTGCAAACTCTCTCCCCCACTGCCCAGGGAAGATCCAGTTTGCCATTGCTGCAGATGACAACGCTGAGTTCTGGCTCAGCCGGGACGACCAGGTGTCAGGCCTTCAGCTGCTGGCCAGTGTGGGCAAGGTAGGGTCAACCCAGCTCCAGAACTCTTCCCCCTGGGCCCAGGAGCCAGGTCCTGGAAGAGGCACCTGCCTGCATCAGGAAACCCTCATTACCATTAGTCTCTCTGGCATGACAGCCAGGGAAGAAGGCGTGAGAGAGGAGCATCCTCCCTCTCACCCCTGCCCCGTTTTACAAGGGGATAGACAGAGCGTAGACTGGGGAAGAATGAGGGGTTAGCCTGAGGCCACAGAAGGACCTCCGGAAGATTCATCTCTGGGCCAGGACTGGGCCACGTCCCCTTTTTGGGTTCCAGCATCCTTAGCATGGTGCCAAGGATGAACGCCGTGGAGCCTGATTGCTCGGGCCCCTTGTAGGATGGGCGGAGGTGCTTCTTGCCTGGGTTACCTGTCACTCCCCTCACCTCTCCTGTTTTCTTTCCCACCTCCCTGCTCTTCTTTTCTGCCACATGTCTCCTCCCCATTCCTTCCTTGTCTTCCTCACTCTCCCCACACCTTTAGACTGGAAAAGAGTGGACCGCCCCTGGAGAGTTTGGGAAATTTCGGAGCCAAATTTCCAAGCCAGTGAGGTGAGTAGGGAGTCTCATGACATTCCTGTGAGCGACAGAAAAAAGCCGACCGACCTCAAGTGCTGAGGTCAAACCAGGCAAGGGAGCCCAGTTGTACCTTCCCTTTTCTCCAGCCTTCCTTATCCAGAGATGCAGCATGCCTGGGCATTCGTGCATTCTGATAAATGAAGTCTCTGACTTAGAAACTATTTGGCCTATCCTTCCTCATTTTACAGATGGGGAAACTGAGGCTCAGAGAGGGGTGTGACTGGGAGAAGGTCACACAGCTATTTAGTGACACTCAGGACTGGAAAACAAAATAGGTCTTTCTTCTCCCAGTCCTTGCCCTTCCCATTTGCTCCATCCCTGGAGATGTCCACAGTGGTACAGCCTGGACGCTGCCTGTGCTGCGGAAAGTTCCTCATCGCTGTGATCCCTTGGGAGACTGGAGGGAGACCAGGCCTTTCCCAGCCTGTAGTGGCTGGAGTTGCTTTTAACATGCTGGAAGGGGAACTTAGCCCAACCTCAGAGTGCCACCTGGTGGCCTGCACACGTAAGCAAGAACATGCATTGGCTTAATGGTGATAATAGTGATGTTGGTAACAATAAGACGGTCTAGCTTGCGAAGAGCGCTTGCTGTTCGCCAGTCTCTGTGGTGAGCACTTTACACGTAACTCAGCATGGCAGCTAACATCATGGACCCAGAAGCCAGACTGCCCGGGTCCAGATCCCAGCTCCACCACTTACTACCTCAGTGATTTTTGGGCGAATTACCCAAGATTTCGGTGCCTCAGGGTTCTCATCTATAACCAAGAATTAAGTGAGTTGGTATGTATAAAACCATTAGAACAACGTCTGGCACATACTAACACCTCTGTAAGGGTTACTATTACAGATGGCCAGATTTACCATAGCTCAACTTACGATGTTTCAACTTTACGATGGTGCAGAAGTGATATGCATTCAAGGGAAACTGTACTTCAAATTTTGAATTTGGATCTCTTTCCAGGCTAGCAGTTAAGGGGTACAGTAGTCTCTTGTGATGCTGGGCAGTGGCCGTGAGCCTCAGTTCTCAGTCAGCTACATGACACAGGGTCAACAACCGATACAGCCATTCTGTACGCATACCACCATGCTGTTTTTCACTTTCATTTAGTAACTTACATGGGATATTCAGCACTTTGTTTTAACTAGGCTTTGTGTCAGGTGATCTTGCCCAACTGTAGGCTAATGCAAGTATTCTGAGCACGTTCAAGGTGGGCCAGGCTAAGCTATGATGTTCGGGAGGTTCAGTGTATTAAATGCATTTCGACTTCCAATATTTTCAACTTAAGAGGAGTCTGTCAGAACGTAAGCCCATAAGTTGAGGAAGATCTGTATTTCCTTTGATTGTCCTGATTCTCCTGTGAAGTGTGGACTGTTAGTACCGCCATCTTACAGAAGAGAAAACTAAGGTCACACTGTGCGTAAGAGGTAGCGTGGGAACTCCAGGCCAGCATTAAAAGCAAAGCTCCTGGGATTCTGGGAGCAGAGAAAAAAAAAAAGACAAGGAGAGGCTGCAGATGGCGGAAGCAAGGTGGGATGGCGGAAGAGTGGGTCACGGGTGGCCACAGGGCCCGAGAAGATCGCCTTCTATGTCTCTGCTCTCTCCTGCCAGCCTGGCGGCCTCCCAGAGGTACTACTTCGAGGTGCTGCACAAACAGAACAACGAGGGCACGGATCATGTGGAAGTCGCGGTGAGAACCCCACCTTGCCTGCCCCCCCAGCTCAGCTCGGAGCCGCACCTCACCCCTTGTCCCTTGAACTCTTTTCTAAATCCAGCTCCCTCCAAGCCTCCGCATCCACCCTCTCTCCTCTTCCAGTGGCGACGGAATGACCCTGGAGCCAAGTTCACCATTATTGACTCCCCTTCCCTGTCCCTCTTCACAAGTGAGTAGGCTCTGCCCCTCCCCTGGAGACAGAGGTGAGCTGGGGCCAACGTGTGGGGCTCAGTCCGCTGAGGGGATTTGGTAAAGGGAGGGCTGGAGGCTAAAGCTCAAGGTGCTTGGAACGTGGGTGGAAAGGGGGTCCAGAACAAGGAACAGAACTTAAAGGGACCCTAAGGTCAGAGATCCTTAACTCTCAAGGGTCAGTGACCCCTTTGAGAACCTGCCGGAAGCTTGCTGAGATCTTGCCCCAGAAGAACGCCCTTGTCCATCCACACACAATATGTTGTGTACAATTTCAGGAGCACCCAGAGACCACGAGGCTCACTCCAGATGAAACACCTCTGAGTGAGATCAGTTTCCTATTTCACAGTTGAGGGTCCCATGGTTCTTTGCAAAGCCATGACCAGAGCTGAAGAAACTTTCTCACCTGCTTTAGATTTGCAGTAAACGAACTCTTCAGTCGTACTATGTATTGCTCATGATTTCCTATGCATCCGCAGGCCCCACTGAGACATCACCGGCGGGCAAGGGGGGGCCACGTGCGCCCGCGTGTAGGAAGAGTAGGCAGGGCCAGAGGGAGGAAGGGAAAGCTGAGTGCTGGGAGGAGACTGGGAAGGCAGTGGAAAGTGTGAGAGAGACGAGGAGGGCGGGGTGGGGCCGGCCGGGGAGGCAGCGTGGCAGTAGCAGCACAGGTAAGGGGCGGTTGATGGTGAGCGAAGCTAGAGACCACAAGGTCAAGGCAGAAGGGGCAGGTCGTGAGCTGCTAAGTTGGTGCAAGAGGAAGAAGGGAGAGCTGGAGCCCATAGATGCAATGTGAAACGAGAGGAAAGAGGCCCATAATAAACTTCAGGGAAGAAACTAGTAAGATGAGCCAGAGGTAACCAGCCCCAAGTATAGAAGGAGAGCTCCACCTGGGGCTGAAGACAGATGAATCCAGACAGCAGGGAGCAACCAGGGCAGTGAGAAAAGGGGAGGGGGAGGCCTGGCCCACTTGGAGGGGAGAATACTAGCCTGGGGGTGATGGAGGGGGCAAGGTGGCGCCCTGCCGTGGTCCACCTTGCTGGCTTGTCTGTCTGAGACGCAGCATAACCTGGAGGCTGAGACTACACTGACCAGGTTCAGATTCAGCTTTGCCACTGACCAGTTGTGTGATCTTCGGCAAATGACTTAGATTCTCGTTGCCAAAGCTCCTAGTCTGTAAAGTAGGAATAGTCACTAAACACCTAAGGTATACAGTGCTTATGGAGATGAAGTGGTTTGATATTTATAAGATGCTTAGAACAGTGCCTGGCTGGTTATTTAGTAAGTGCTCTGTACATGTTTGTGAGATAAATGAAGCAGACCTAAATGACAGATTTCCAGCAGAGAGCAGTAACACATTTGAGGAAGTAGTGTCTTTTTCCAATTTACACAAAGTTGTGGTGTGTGGTAGCCATGAGGCTGGTAGAGTGGGTCCAAAGGAGATCAGTAGCTGAGCCCACAACTTGTGAGAGGGCAGAGCTAGAGGGGAGTGGGGTCATGCACACCCCATATACTGTCCCTGGGGGGGAGGGTACAAAAGCCTGGGCTCTGGCTCTGCCTGGCCTCTCAGAGGGGCAGGGGCCTGGGTTCTGGGTTTGCTCTAGGACCCACAGCTGCTTCTGTTCTTTCCTCCCTGGGCCCAGGTGAGACAGTCCTAAGGATGGATGACGTGGGCCATATCCCTCAGACAGCAGCCAGCCATGCAGGCTCCCGAGACTCTCTTCCCAGAGAGGAGCTGCCCCTTGCAGACATGCTGCGGCCCGACCCTCGAGACACCCTCTATCGAGGTAAAGCCTTGGCTGCACACATCTCATCCAGTCTGGGGACCATACACTGCCATGGGTGTTAGTAGAGGAGACTCCGCGGACTTGTCACTTCTACCACAGTATTCCAAAGTCAGAGAATCTCGCTTTTCCCTTAGGAGTGTAAAATATAATATGCGTACAGAAAAGTACAAAAATATTTATGTGCAGTTTTACAGTTCTACAAATCATTACACAGCAAACATTGGGTAACCACCTCCCAGGACAGGAAGTAGAACTAGAGCCCAGAAATCCTGTACGTGTCCCTCCACAATCACATATATCATAGTTTTCTACTGGATCCCAACTCTTCTTTTTTTTTTTTTTTTTAAGATTTATTTATTTATTTATTCATGGGTGGGGGGGGGAGCAGAGGGAGAAGCAGGCTCCCAAGGAGTAGGGAGCCCAATGCGGGACTCGATCCCAGGACCCTGGGATCATGACCCGAGCCGAAGGCAGATGCTTAACCATCTGAGCCACCCAGGCGCCCTAGGTGTTGGAGTCTTAAATTCATGGGAGCATTTACATTTTAAAAGATGAGAGAGCCCCAATCCCCACAACAACTGGATGGAAATTCAGTTATTGGCCCTGAGCTAGGATGAGATTCGGTGGCCTCCTGGATGTTTCTAAACCTTTACTGAGGCTAGCCCTCTACAGCAGTCCCCACGCCATGAACCGGGGACTGCGGCCGAATCCTTGGCCTCCAAGGCTCCTTGAATGCACCCACCCCAGAAGAGTGGTGCCAGCCTTAGTTTGGCAACCTCAGCTCATGCACTTGGACTGCCCGTGGCTGCTATGAGTGAATACAAAAAGGTGCCTGCTCAGAGCAGAGGCCTTCGGCCCTCCCCCTCAGCCGAGAGCCTTTGTGCCTCGAAGCCAGCCCGTTCCAGGCTCCCGTCCCCACCCTCATCCCTCTTCCTTTACTGTCCTCAGTGCCTCTGATCCCCAAGACTCATCTCCGCCACGTCCTGCCCGATTGTCCCTATAAACCCAGCTACCTGGTGGATGGGCTCCCCCTGCAGCGCTACCAGGGACTCCGCTTTGTAAGTCTGGGGGCTGGGCAGTGGGGGCTTGCAGCCTGTGGCTGAGATAGAGGGGTGCCGGGCCTGACTCTTCCTCCTCCCCATGCCACATAGCAGCAGACAGGACGGTCTCACAGGTCCATGGGCTGGGTGAACTTGCGTTCCACGTTGCCCATGGCCCAGTGGACTGCCTTATAAACCTTGAGAAGAAATGCTCGGCTTTAGGAAGAACTCCAACTCCAGCTCTGCCACAGTGATGACGGTGATGGGAGGTGGACTGGCCTGAGGCTTCTTATACGCTCAGCTCCTTTAGCCACACACCCTGTCCTACCTGGGTTGTCCTACCTGGCGACCAGCCAGCAGTACTTCTTAAAACTCATAGATGAGGCCCTGGGGAAAGTTAACTGTGGAGGGGAGGTTAGCTCTAGAGAACCTATAGCCCAGGTGGAAACTGCAGAGGCAGAAGGCACACTATATATCCAGATCTAGAAACGATTAGGAGAGTGCTCAAGGCAGGAAGAAGTGGCCAGGAGTCATCCTCTGGGTGGAGAATGGGTGGGGTCTAACTGGGAAATTGGTTGGTGGCATTGCCTGAAGCTGTAAGGAGGGCAGGAAGCAGTGGAGTGGGTAACAAAAGGGGGCTTGTCCCAGGGCCGTGGGAGGTTGCAGGTGAAGGTTTGGAAGTGGCAGGAGGAGGAGAGAATGGTGCTGGCTGCAGCTGGGGAGAGCGAGGTGAGGAGCGCACTGGGAAGCTTGAGTCCGGGGTTGCATTTGGTCCAGAGAGTCCAGGAGAGGAGGCCTGAAGAGTGGAATGGAATCCCGGTCTGCGGAACAAATGTTTTCATCCGAAGCTCAAAGCAGCCCTTCTCCCATCACCGTGAGCCCTGTGTGGGCCCAGCCAGGCACAGGCTTCACCCTGGTCGGCTGATTTCTTACTGAGATCCCACCCTCTCATTACTGCTGCTGCTTTCTTTGCCTCCAGGTGCATCTGTCCTTCGTTTACCCAAATGACTATACCCGCCTGAGCCACATGGAGACACATAATAAATGCTTCTACCAGGAAAACTCGTACTACCAGGACCAGTGAGTGACACTGAATGGGGCAAGAGAATGGCCTTACAGAGGGGCTCCGCGGGACTAGAAGGGTGGCAAACGCCCTTCCAGCCCGAGGAGTCTTGGTCTTTCCCAGGCACGCCATATGCTCACAGACACACATACACACTCCTGCCCTCCAGACTGGGGCATGACTCCGTACTGCTGCTGGCCCTTCCCCCAGAGCCTCACGTGCTAGCCTATGGGGGCCCTGGGTGCCAGTCTGCCTTTCCCGTCCTCCTGCAGGTTCAGCTTTCAGGAGTACATCAAGATTGACCAGCCTGAGAAGCAGGGGCCGGAGCATCCAGGTAACAGAGTAACAGCTGAGGCTTCCGGGCCAGGCTGGGAGGGATGAGCATGGTCTGTTTCTAGAGGAAGTTCAGACCAGGCCAGCCCTGCCCCTGAGGAGCTTAAAATCCGAACCACACAGCCCCCCCGCCCCCACACCCAAAGGAGGAGAGAGTGGTACTCCTTCCTTTTCCATCCCAGGCACATGTGGAAAGTGACGCTGTTTTTAACAGTGTGCTGCAGTCAGCTGGAGGAGAGTTAGAGCCCCAGGGGAGATTGCTTGGACTGCTGGAGGGATCGCTCTCCCTGGCACGTTACTGGGGAAGTTCTTCTGAGAGAAGCACTGTCGTCCTGTGGCCTTTCTTCTAGAGGGATTAGGGCATGCCGGGGCCATTTGTTGGGCCCCGTGTGTGCCAGGCACCTGCTAGGCACTTTGGGTATTTTATATCACTCCATCTTCACGACAGCCCTAAGGAAGATGCATGATTATTCCCTTTATGCAAAAGAAGAAACTGGGGTTAGTTAGAGGTTGGTAACTTGCCCAAGGTCCCACAGTAAGCCTGTGGCAGAGCCCGGGTGCAATCCCCATCTGACACTCGTTGGGTGTCATTCATAGGACCAACCGCTGTCTTATCTATCTTGTTTGGGAAAGTTGGAAACTCTGATGTGAGGAATGGTGGTTGTTATTAACAACAGGTTTTGAGGAAAGCCTTCTAGAAGAATCCCAGTATGGAGAAGCAGCAGAGGAGACCCTTGCCTCCAATGTCCAGAATGCCAGGATGCCAGAGGGAAGACAAGTGCCTACCTTTCCCCCCGGGCAGGATGTCACTGACTACCACCTCCGGAGCCTGCGAAAGCTCCTAGCTCAGCCCCGGGAGGGTCTGCTGGCAGCGTTTTCCAAGCAGAACTCCACAGCTCCTTTCCCTGGGAGGACCAGCGATGTCCCAGTCCAGCAACCAGAGAAGAGGGAGCGAAGACCTAGCCCCGAGCCCAGCCAAGATCCACCTCACTCTGAGAAGTGGCCCCCGGGGCATCCGACGGGGCAAGTGCCTGCTGTCAAGGGGCCGAGGCCCAGTAGTGGCCGTCCCAGGAAGACACTAGGGCAGTCCCAGTGGCTGAATCAAGTTGAGACATATATCGCAGAGCAGAGAAGGGGAGACAGGATGGAGCCCGCAGCCCCCGGGAGGGGTTGGCATGGTGAGGAAGACATCGTGGTTGCTGCAGGCCAGGAAGGGCGGATGGAGGGAGAAGAGGGGGACGAAGACGAGGAAGAGGAAATGAGTGAGGTATTCGAGTACGTGCCCGCGTTTGACCCAGTGGTAAACTGGGACCAGACCTTCAGTGCTCGCAACCTTGACTTCCAAGCCCTGCGGACCGACTGGATCGATCTGAACTGTAACACATCTGGCAACCTGCTGCTTCCAGAGCAGGAGGCTCTCGAGGTCACACGGGTCTTCCTGAAGAAGCTCAACCAGAGGAGCCGGGGGTAAGGTAAAGGGCTCTCCTGGGACCGGGGCTGGGGCACAGCAGCCAGCTGGCCTGGGGGCAGGAACCTGGGGGCTGTTGCCCGTTCCCCTGCTGCAGGCTCCCTGGACGATCACACGCCTGGGACCCCCTGTTCCTGAGAATGAGCTCTACCTGTCAGGTCTTTGTCCACCCTTGGGCAAGGTTCTGACATCCCTTGGCACCTGGCCTGGGACGTGTGTTGAGCACCGGGAAGGCTTGGTAGATGGGGTCCCCTTTCTCAGGGAAGGAGCTAGTAGTAAAGGGATAGCACGGGCAAAACTGAGACTAAAAGAGATAAGACCCCAGCGTGGGCTGGAAGGGCTAGGGCAAAAAGCAGGGCCTGGCTTCTTTGTTTTCGCATTCATTCATTTAACCCATCAACATTCTTATAATTGAGATACAATTCACATAACATTCAATGTACCATTTTAGAGTGTATGGTTTTAGAGTGTACATTTTGGTGGTTTTAGGCATACTCATAATGTTGTGCAACCATCATCTGATTCCAGAACGTTTTCATCACTTTTAAAAGGACCCCCATACCTGTTAGTATTACTTCCATTTCTTCCTTCTCTAGGTCCCTAGCAACCACTGCTTGACTTTCTCCCACTATAGATTGACCTATAATAATCATTTCATGCAAATGGAGTTACATTTCGTGTAAATGTAGTATGTGGCCTTTTGTCTCTGGCTTCTTTTACTTAGTAAAGCATTTTCAAGGCTTCGCCATGTTGTAGAATGTATTGAGTGCTTCATTCCTTTGTACTGCTGTATAATATTCCATGATCCTGAGTTCTAACCAATCTAACCAATTTCTCTAATAACCCATCGTGTGTTATGGACTGTGAGGGAGTAGAATATTTTATTAACGAGGGTCAGTTTCTGAAGGAAACACGTTCACCTCATATACTTAGGATCTTAGAGCTATAACAGACTTTAGAGCAGGTCAGTAGGTACATTTTTAAAGATGGAGGCAGTGAACACTAGAGATTAAACATCTGGTGGAAGCATCTTCCTTCTTTCCTTCCTCCCTCCCTCCCTCCCTCCCTCCCTCCCTTCCAGCTCTGCACCCAACGTGGGGCACAACCCTGAGATCAAGAGTCACGTGCTCTACTGACTGAGCCAGCCAGGGGCCCCTGCTGTCAGCATCTTAGCCAATGGCAACACTAGGACAAAAATCAGGGTCTCCTGACCTCTGACCTCACAGGCTTCTACGTATCATGTTACCCCCCACAGTGGGGGAAGGAGTTACTCAAGCTGCCCACCCTTTCTGCCACAGGAAGTACCAGCTACAGCGCATTGTGAATGTGGAGAAGCGCCAGGACCAGCTACGTGGAGGTCGCTACCTCCTGGAGCTTGAGCTGCTGGAACAAGGCCAGCGCCCAGTGCGGCTCTCCGAGTATGTGTCTACTCGAGGCTGGCAGGGCATCGATCCAGCTGGTGGGGAAGAGGTCGAGGCCCGGAACCTGCAGGGCCTGGTTTGGGACTCACACAACCGTCGGAGACATGTCTTGAATGTCCGGGCCCCAGAGCCCAAACTGTGTTGGCCCCAGGGCTTCTCCTGGAATCACCGAGCCGTGGTCCACTTCGTTGTGCCTGGTGAGCCTCAAGCTGAGCCCGGCCATTATTAGCAGAGTGGGGATCCAGCAGCACCCAGGTCACTGCTCACTGATGTGATCTCACGAGAACCCGTGGGAGAGGCCACTCAACAGTCGAGGACCCGAGGTCACATGGCTGAGCGTTGCGGTTGGCAGAGATGCCAACTCGTAGGCCACGTGCTCCCTGTTGCGCCAGGTTTCAGGGTGGGGGGCCATCATCGTACCGGGGTTTGCAACTGCTCTGGGGAACGAGACATAGAGTGGCTTAGCTGGTTTCTGTAGTGGGAAGGAGGAGCATGGAGCAGATGTGTGTAACCATGGGCTGGGACAGGAGAGCAAGAGTGCTAGTAGGAGGGGCAGATAATGGGGTTTGAGTGTGAGAGCACAGTCGGGTCACTCCGAGAGAACTGAGGACGAGCCCCGGTCCCAGACCTTCCCGTGAGGCACTGCCCGGAGGCTCTGTGGGTGCCAGGGTGCAGAGGCCCCTTTCACGGGTCCGCTGTCCCTCTGCCTTCGGCCGCCCCCCCCCCGCCGCTGCATTGCTGGTGGGTCCGCAGCGGCAGAGGTCTGCTGGGGCCCCAACTCGTGTGGGAGCTGGTAGTGGGGCTGCCTTTTTCAGTGTTACCGCTTCTTTCTTCCCGTTGCCCACTGCGGTAGTAAAGAACCAGGCGCGCTGGGTGCAGCAGTTCATCAGGGACATGGAAAAGCTATTCCAGGCCACCGGTGACCCACACTTCAATATCATCATCACTGACTACAGCAGTGAGGACATGGACATCGAGATGGCCTTAAAGAGGTCCAAGCTGCGGAGGTGAGGAGGCTCCCCGGCCGGAGCGTGGCCAGAGCCACCCGCTTTCTAGAGTCCTGGGACTGCTGGGGGCTGGGCAGAGCCCGAAGTCCCACCTGGCTTTCCTGAGTCCCGCTGTCTGGCTTTCTCCAGACGACTCACCTGCACGCATCCTAGGAGCACACATCACCTTCCTCCGGGCCCGCCGGCATCCTCCAGGACCACTGCCGCCGAGCCCTCATATTCTGCCCCCTCTCCTCTCCTCTCCCTGCAGCTACCAGTATGTGAAACTGAGTGGAAACTTCGAGCGCTCGGCTGGGCTTCAGGCTGGCATAGACCTGGTGAAGGTAATAGCCTGGGAGAGGCTTGGGAGCCACGGTTACAGACTGGTTAAGAGGTGGAGACATCTGGGATGTGTGAGGTGGCCGGCTCCTCAGGGAGGAAGGAATGAGGACATGGAGGTCCTCTCTGCTGCAGGATGGATGCCAGGGTGGGGCTGAGCAAATGACCATGGAGCATTTGTCCAGAGGCCTTGCCATCCATAAAGGGTGAAGGAGAGGTGTCAGAATTCATTCTCCTGACTCTGACTACTGCGCTCTGGTGCCCAGTACTGTGGAAATCTGCCCAGCAGTTTGTTTTGTGGAAGTTTGTCCATCACGTGAGTGGGAAGGAGCCTGAGGATTGTCCTTGGGAGTGGCCTGACCCTGGTCTGTGGGGTCTGCTGACCCTCCTTGATGTGTCCTCAGGACCCGCACAGCATCATCTTCCTCTGTGACCTCCACATCCACTTCCCAGCTGGAGTCATCGATAGCATCCGGAAGCACTGTGTGGAGGGCAAGATGGCCTTTGCCCCCGTGGTGATGAGGCTGCATTGCGGGGCCACCCCCCAGTGGCCTGAGGGTGAGCCCTGCCTTGGGCTAGGGCGGGTAGGAAAGCCCTCTCTGGCCTTGGTTCTTCACCCCAGAGCTGGAAGCAGCCGTGTCTACCGTGGCAGCCTCCCTCTTCCCCCTGCTCCTTCTGCCCACCCAGACAGCCCACCAGAGAGGTGCCCAAGGGCTGTGCTCACAGCCACGGCAGCAGCAACGGTGAACATGTCCTCCCCACCTTCTCTTCATTCAGTCATATTTACTGTGTGCCAGATTCTGTGCCCTGTGCAGATAGAAAAATGGAAAGACAGGCCCTCTGCCTCTGGAGAGGGAAGCAGACACAGAAAGCATGCTCAGCTGTGTCCCCAGTGGCTGCCGTTGTGAGATCCTGTTGTAGGGCCTGTAGTCCCCTCCTGGTAGGATCGCAGCTTCCATCAGACCCTGACCTGAGTGCGGGGGGGGCTTCCACCCAGAACAGGCAGGGACTTGTTCACATGAGACAGTTTTCAGCATCAGACACCCCGTCCCCTGTCTTTCAGAGAAGGCTCTGGGAATGCAGCCTAGCAGCCTTCGTTGCTTCCTCCTGGCCCCTGGCTCATCTCATGGGGGCTTCTTGTCTGGCCACAGGCTACTGGGAGGTGAATGGGTTTGGACTGCTCGGCATCTACAAGTCGGACCTGGACAGAATCGGCGGCATGAACACCAAGGAGTTCCGAGACCGCTGGGGCGGGGAAGACTGGGAGCTGCTGGACAGGTGACTTGGGCAGGAGGGTGTCTGAGAGGGGCGACGGGGTGAGAGCAGGGCTAGACCAGCCGAGGCCGGGCCCGCGGGGCAGCAGATTGCTGACCACTGGACTCAGAGGAAACCCTGCCACTCACGGGGGGCTCATATTACTCGCCTGGCCGAAATGCAGTTTGTGCGTTTATTAGAAGGGGGATGATCTTGCCTCCGCCTATGTCACAGGGTTGGCCTGGAGAGCAGAGTGCATGGTGGGCTGTCAGGGTAAAGCAAAAGCCAGTGACTGTACGCACGTAAGTGCTGATGCTCTCAGCGCAAGCCCGGTGCCATGGAGAATACGATATATGGCTACGTTCTCCCAGATCGGAGCCTTCCACCCCTGCACCGCTGCCTGGCAGGGAAGCTGAGGCTGGGGCATGGACAAGAGAGACAGTTAAAGGGTCAGGAAAGACTTGGGGGCCAGCAAAAGAGACAGTGTGTGGGTCATTAAAGAGCAGTAAGATATCCAGGAGGTCCTGGGGCCCTGGAAGCCCAGGAGAAGGGAGTTTCAAGGAGCAGGAAATAGTCCCTGGGAAGAAGGAGAGAGGAGAGCCCAGGACAGGCCACAGACTTGGCAAGCGGTGGATGAGGGTGTTGAGGCAGGAGTGGGCAGGCCGGGAGGTGGTGGTGGTGAGGGAGGGTGGTGAGGGAGCCGGAGCTGTTGGTACGAGATTCCTCTTTCAAGAAATTTACTTTTTTTTTTTTTTTTTAAGATTTTATTTATTTATTTGAGAGAGAGAGAATGAGAGATAGAGAGCACGAGAGGGAGAGGGTCAGAGGGAGAAGCAGACTCCCCGCTGAGCAGGGAGCCCGACGCGGGACTTGATCCCGGGACTCCAGGATCATGACCTGAGCCGAAGGCAGCCGCCTAACCAACTGAGCCACCCAGGCGCCCCAAGAAATTTACTTTTTTTAAAAAAGAAATTTGCTGCCACGAGGGGCTCCTGGCTGGCTCAGTTGAGAGAGCCTGCAGCTCTTGATCTCGGGGTCGTGAGTTCGAGCCCCACATTTGGGGGTAGAGCTTTTTTAATAAGTAAAAGTTACAGAAGAAAGAAATTTGTTGCCAAGAGAAGGGGAGGGAGAGGACGATAACTTGAGATTTGGGTTGAAGGGGATGGGGCAGAAGAGAGAAAGGGAGAAAGACATCGAAGGAAGAAAGGACCAGGGTCAACTGCGTATCGTTCTCCTCTCTCTAAAGACTGGCCGACTGAGGCTCTGAAAGGTGACATGCGTTACACGGTATAGGGCTGGGATTCAAACCCAGGCTGGCTGGCTCCGAAGCCCACGTTCCGTGCGCCGTGGCCTCCTCCCGTGCTCCATGGGGGTAAACAGAGGAAGACGGGGGGTGACGTAGACGTGGGAGGTGGGGTCCCCAGTTGCCTCTTATGCTTCTGTTACTTACCCTCCCCCTCCCCATGCAGGATCCTCCAAGCGGGCCTGGAAGTGGAACGGCTCTCCCTCAGGAATTTCTTCCATCACTTCCATTCCAAGCGAGGCATGTGGAACCGCCGTCAGATGAAGATGCCGTGATCCCGAGGGGCGGCCCGCTGGACTGACCGCTTCCCGCTCCCTGACTTGCACTGGCTTCCCAGTGCCCCTGCTCGCCGCTGAGGAGGAGCAGGCGGTGGCGGGGAGAAGCCATGGCTGGGCCCCGAGAGGCCTCAAAGCGAACGGCATCACTCCACCCGGAGCTGTCGCCTCACACAGACGGCTGCCAAGGCCCCTCTCTCTACTCTGGGGGCCGCTGAAGGGAGGACCTTGGGAGAGGGACGGCCGGGAGGGGCCGTTCACTCAGTTGACAGAGATGGGCCGGCGCCTGGCAAAGGTGGCACAGTTCAGTCAAGGAAGGAAAGACCTGTTTGCATGCTCCCGACCTATCTGTGAGGTGCATTCAGCATCCCCTCCAGCTCCTCCCGGGGAGTAGTGACCACGACCTGGAAACCCTTCTCTTGGACCTATTTTATTGGGGTTTTTATTTTTCTAACAGAAAACCAAAACTGTACCAGTCCAGACCCAGCCTTGACTGTGAGAGTCATGAGGATGAGAATGGAGTCATGCAGTTAGGGCATGTCCCCATCTACGTACCTCAGACTTGCTCCTGTGTAGTGCTACGTGTCCCTCGGTACTTGACCCGGCAGCTGATTTATAACCAGAGGAGCTGGCACCGCGTGGATCCGTTCTCAGCTTTATTCCCAGCCCGTGCCTTCCAGAGACACGCGTATCTCTCCCAGGGAGCCACTGAACAGCCGGCGGTGCTAACTCCAGCCTGACTGGAAGTACAGACTGGCGTCATCTTCACAATGCCCCCGCGGGGTTGGGCAACAGAGCTGGCGGGCAGTGGGCTCGTCATCCCCCAGTGACTGGCGTAGAGGCGGTGCAGGACGGGCATGGTGGAGGAGGAGGGAGGGCAAGCCCCCGGCCCGGCCCACCTGTAGGCTAAAGCCTTGGCGGAGAACATGAAGCAGAGAGGAAAGAGGATGGAGATGTAAGAAAGCCTTGGGCTTAGACGGGAACAGGGGTTGCCATCCAGCAGGAAGGGAGGAAAGGGAAGTGGAAACTTAAGGCCTCACAGCCCCGCTGTCCCACAGACTTGGCCTCCTGCAGGGAGATCCCCAGCCCCATCCTGCCCGGAAGAAGAGGAAGGGGTGTAGACAAGACAGAGGAATAAGGAACAGGGTGGGAAGGGGCAGGGCCGTGGGTTTGGGTAGGTAAGGGCATCACCCTGAGATCTCTTCCCCAATTGGAGGGGAGTGGGGCCAGGAGGAACTGGAAAGTGGAGCCATTTCAGGGAAGGTAGCCCTTGCCCTTGTAGTCTCTGGCCACCCTCCCTGACACCTGATGATCACGCACTTAATCTTGCACTAAAAATCCCCAGGTGCCTTTGGGGCTGGGGATCTTTACGCCGCCGCTGCTGAATTGACCAATGGTGCATTGGACGCTGGCTCTGGCGCTCCAGCATCCAGCGAAGGAGGGGAGCACGGGGCTCCCCGCTGTGAGGAAGCACTCACGGGGGTGCGGCAGGGCCTGGGAGGCCAGTTGAGCCCAGGCTCCATGCTGTGATAGAGTCCAAGTCACAGCATTTGGAGCTTCAGCGTCTACCCAGTGGGCCCTGCATACGCCAAGAGCACACGCTTGGCATTTAGGAGAATGGAGCCCATTGAGAACCTTCTGGGGGTTGAAGAGAACCCTTGCTCCACTCTTAAGAAATCAGGAAGGACAAAGACTTTCCAGTTAATGGGCTGTGGCTTCTGGATTCCATACCTGCCCCTTGGGCCCTTGCTCAGGCCCACCACCTTTGGGAAAGGGCTGTAGGGAATAGGTGAGAGCTACAGTTGGCTGGCTGGGGTGCTGGCTTGCTTTCTGGGGCCACTGTCACCCTTGGCCGTGGTACTGGTAGGCCCAAGCCAACCCAAACAGCTCTGCCACCTCTATCCTCTTAATGACAGGAGCCAACCCAGCCTACCCTGCCCTGCTCACGGCTCCTCTGACCCTGGCCAGTGCCTGCCTTCGTTTGTTAAACTTCCACACCATCTGCCTTAAGGGGGGAGGGCCTAGTATGGACCCTACCTTGTGGGAAATGGGGGGGGGGGGGGGGAGGGAAATCATTAAATACAGCATCTTCTTAGAAAATAAAGTGGCTCATGTGTTTTCCTCATCTCCCATAAAGATGGGAGAGGGGTGGGCTGAGGACCTAGGTTTCGCATCTCTGTCCCTCAGTTGTCAGGCCTCTGATGGATGTGCCAAGGACCCTCCCACACCACCCTCCACCATTTACCATTCGTTTCGTGCCTGCCCTGTGGGGAGCTACCTAAGGAGTTCACCGTCTGAGAGCAGACGGGCATTTTCTGCTCAGCAGGTTAGTGCAGATTGGTGGTTCCAGTAGAGAAGGGTTGATGGAAGCGCTGGGGGAAGAAAGCTAGACACAGGGCCAGGATAGTTTGTGGAGCAGTGGTAAAGTAGGAGACAATCTAAAAATCATTTCTGTTAGAGCTAGGGATGCCCGGTTGATGCTTTACAGGTACAAATTTATCTTCCTCGTTCTATTTGGCCAAGGCAAAGATCAAAATGAGTTTGTATGCCTTACACATGCCTAAGGGAAGGTGCTAATTTGAAAGCTAGGATAGGTTTATGACAGGTTCTCAAAAAGGATTGTGCATATACATGGATCAATCCAGAATTGACTAATCTGCCATTGATGTAGCAGATGGTAATTAGCTCAAGGCATATGGAGCCAAGAAAGTTGACTCAGAGCAGGACCTAGAGGAGAGGCAGTCAAGCCTTTTCCAGAACACAGCTGGAGAGGGCATCCAGAGTGCAGCCCGGATGCATAAATATTGACTCATAGTGGATTTGCAGAAAACTTTATAGATAGAGATCATTCCATTTTACAAAAAGGGAAAACTGAGGCCTGGAGCCGAGGGAATGGACAGGTCAGAGGGAAGGGATGAGGTGGATTAAGAAGTTCTGAAGCTGGGCAGGCTTGGCCTTAGGTAGACATGCCTTAAGGTGCGGGAGATGCTACCAGAAAGCAAGGTTGGCAGTACCCCAGTCTGAGCTCAGGACTCCAGACCAAGATGGGATTCACTTAGACTAGTAAAATTGCACGTCTTCATTCAGATGCTCTGGGTAGGGAGCAAGGGCATCTCCTTTGCCCTTCTCGGAGCTCTCCCAGGGGCTGTGGAAAGTGTCCATCAGCCTAGCAGAGCGGGGAGGAAAGAGGCGGAAGCTGTTCCAGACCTGGGACCTGTAGGGGAAGCAGAGAAGAGACGGTGAGGAGGGCAGGCCAGACCAGCGGTCCTCAGACTTTTACTGTGCACACAGTTCCCCTAGCAACCTTTTTCAAATGCAGGTCCCCATTCAGGAGATCTGAAGTGGGGCTGGAGAGCCCATGTTTCCTGCAACCTTCCAGTTGGTGTTGCTGCTGGTCCATGGACCGCAGTGTGAGTAGCAAGGACGGCTGGGCAGTGCCAGGGAGGTATCCCATACTGCATCTTTCCTCTTGCCAGAGGGGCAGAGCCAAGCACTAACCACACTGCCTCCCACCCATCCCAGGCTATAGAACCCCAGCCTGACTGCTGAGGAAGAGTCCCCCGTTAGCAGCAGGAGGGGCCTTCCCGGGCCCGGATCCAAGCTCTTCTCTCAGACCCCCTCCTTGCCTCAGATCTGTCTTGTCCCTGTTACTTGCAAAGATCTTGCTGCTACCCCAAACCCCCAGAGCTGGGAGAAGGGTCACTTGGAGCCTTTGGCCCTGGGGGCCTCCCTTCCTCCCTCACCTGGGTCCCAGGCTGTGTTCAGAGAGGATTCCTTGAGGTCCTGGCAGCCAGGAAGCCTGTCTTGTGTGCCCCGAAGGCTGTAATGAAGACGTTGATGACGACCGTGATGAGGACCAGGATGGTGGCAGCATTGTTGAGCTGGTTCAGCTGCCACTGCTTTCTCACCTCATTGAGGTTCAGCCGTGCTGTGGACGAGTGGGGGAGGGGGGCGAAGGCTCAGCGCGGGGCCACAGCCCAAAACCTCCCTCGTGCACCTCGGAGCCCCGTGTGGCAGAAGGCAAGGGAGGTGGTAGGCATTGGGCTGAGCCACCTTCTCCCTCACTGACCAGGGTGCCGGCATCCACACTGTACATCAAGAAATCGGGATTTGGGCATTTATACCAGGTCTTAAGAGTGGGGATACATGCTCACACAAAAGGCCATAAGGACCTCTGCTACAAGTAAGTGAAGAGAGTCAATTCAGCAGGTGTCGTGGAGGGACCACTATGTGGGAGACCAGGATGTAGGACAGGGAGCCTGCTCTCACTATGTAGTTGTTGTTAGCTGGGCATTTGTAGGTGCGGAGGGCTACCACCAGGTTAGCAGACGGTTGAGAAGTTGGCATGGGCAAAAGCAGGGGGGTGGGGCGCAGGGAAGCAGTCGGGGCTTTTCTTCCCACCAGGGGCCACTGAGGCCCACTCCGGGTCTAGGGTCCTCACCGATGACCACGAGGAGGATTCCGATGACCACCTGCAGGAGCAGAGAGATGCTGATGAGGGTGACGAGGGTGGTGTAGTAATGGGAGGATGGTCCCTGCTCCAGCACTGCTTTCAGACGCGTGGCGTTGGACATGAAGAGGGCCACATCCAGCATGCTCTCTGCCACGCTTTTCTTAGTGGCATAGTGGTTCAGGTTGATGGGCTGGCTCCTCCCGGAGCTGGGGTTCCCAGGCTGTAATAGAGAAAGCGCAGGCTGACCTAGGAGGCTCCTGAAGGGAAGCAGTCGAGACTGGAAAGAGGAGAGAGCTTTTCGAGCTTTCCCTTAACCGGGTGAGGAACTGAGGGCAAGTAACACCCTCCTCAGTTTTATGGCCCGAAAGAAAAGAGTTGGACTAGAAAGCCCTTACGGACCTTTGAACTTTGAAATGATGGTATGTTGTCGTTTATGTTTCCCTACGGTCTCCCACATCTATCTGAAGAAGGGTAGGGGGCGGTGGGGAGGAGTTCTCAGCTGCTTGTAAGAGGTACCACCCTCATTTCATTCTCTATTTTGCCTGAG